AGGTCAGCAGAGGCAAGGGATGTTTTCCATCTGTGATCTCCCTTTTGTTTGGTTTAGGACGGCGAGGCTTGTGTGTGCCTGCAGGCAGAGGAAGGAACGGGCGCAGAAAGAAAAGGAAAATGCAGAACAGAGAGACTTTCTCCAAAGCAGTAATTGCCACGGACATATTGTGTATTTCCATGATGCCTTTACTGTCTGTTTCCTCGACCAGGGGGTCAGCTGATGGGGGCCGGCATCTGTGGTTCACAGTGGGTCCCCAGCAGTGCCTGGTGTACGGTAGACACTCAATAAGTACTTTTTGTATTGAACTGAATTCACAGGGTTCCGCAGGGAGCCTCGTGGTTGGTCCTGGGAAGAGAAGGTTCCATGAGGACCTGAAGGAGGGGCTTCTCTCTGAAGCTGCAGTGAGGGGAGAGAGGGAGAGGAAAAGAAGTCAAGAGCAAGTCAGAAAAGTGCGGGTTGGGGGTGGGTCAGAGGGGCGGCATAGGGGTGAACAGAAGTGGAGAGTGAAGAATAATAAGGACGGAGCTACCACGTCCTTGTGAGAACACTCTAGGAGGTTACTTATCATTTATGTATTAGCATTATTTTGCCACTGCTCCTTTATAAAAGTATTAATTCATTGAATCCTAACAACAACTCTGAGGTCAGCCCTGAGGGGTGTCATAGGGGGAAGCCAGGATTTGAACCCAGGACTTGGAGCTGATCCGGAGTCTGTGGTGTTAACCCCGGAACCACACGCCTCCCCACGGCCTTCTTTTATGGGGTGTATTCCTCACCACCTCTGGGGTGGCAGGGAGTCTCGTATTTCACAGGAACAGAGAAGCGTGGTGACTTGCCTGACTTGCCCGGGCTCACACAGCTGCTAAGCGGCTGAGTGGGGGCTTCAGCTTGCGTCGCTCTAACTGCAAGCCCGGTGGCTTCTCCTTCCCAGAGGGAGGAAATGCAGGGATTCAGTGAGGAGTCAGGTGCCGAAAAGGAGGTACCAGCAGGGCTTGGGAACCACATTTTACAGCATCTTCAGAGTGGGGCTTTCACAGGCTCCTGAGTCGCCCCAGCCTGGGAACAGGACAGAGAGAGTTGGGGGCTGGCAGATGGGGAACAACAGCGACAAGGCTTCCAGTCTGAAGGGGGTGTCACCTGGCCGCGGCCGTCCCTGGGATGAGGCCAAGTGAGACAGAATGAAATGTGAGCAGGAACGGGGGACTGGAGGTGACGAAGGCCATGTGTGGCGGGTGGCAGGGAGGCTGCGCCCAGGACGGGGTTTCCAGACCTCTGGTCCCTGGTGGAGAAGAACCCTGGAACGTGGGTGGCCCGTGCCAGCCCTTCCTCAGTGTTTCTCCTGAAAGCCACCCGGGCGCTGTGACGTGCTTCAGCAAATAGCCGCTTCTGAACACAAAGAGGGAAAAAAAACGCCGCGGGTCTTGAGAGGAGAAGTACGGCTTCCTATGGACTTACCAGGAAGCCTGGGGCCAGCCCAGGCAGAAGTGTGGGAGGTGGCAGAGACGCCCTTAAAAGCAGGCGGGCCCAGGCCCTGCCACTCTCCAGGCCTGAGGACCTGAGGATAGAGAGAAGGTCTCACTGGTGAGGAGTCTCATTCTGGGGGCTGCTTTGCCTGGGGAGTGAGGGGGGAGCAGGGCGCAGAGAGGGGGCTGCAAGTGGAAACACCTGGTGGGGGGAGCAGGGCACAGGGAGGGGCTGTGAGAGGAGACCCCTGGCCCCGCAATGCCTCCCCGACAGATTGAGGGGAGGTGTCCGCAGCACCTCCTGTCTGGTGGGGTTTGGTGCTGTTCATCCTTTCCAGCTAGGAGATGTGACTGAGGGGTTCTGGGAGCATGGGGGGTGGTGGCTGCATGTGGGCTGGGAGGACCTGTCCCTCCAGAGACCCAGCCACTCCCCGACCCCCGTGTTTTCATGCTTCCATCAGGCCATCTCCACTCGCTCCACCTCTCATTACTGTGGCCACTGCTCCATTCCAAAATTATCCCTCGGCTGTGCTCCTTGCCCTCTGTGGTTGCCTGATAAAAATAGCCAACCTCACATTCTTCTCCTGGGGCCTGCTTTGGGTTCCATGGATGGTCCAGTTTCCCGGCCCCTGGGGCAGCTGCTTCAATGCCTCTGCCACCCTCTGTGAAACTTCTTTTGGACTCTCTCAGACCCCTTTGCATGGGTCCTCGTGCTGCTCCCTCTCATCCACAACCCGTGTCCAGGGTGTTCTAAAATGCACGTGGGATTTTGGTTTTATTCTGGTATGGTGAGGCCGACAGATCAGGAGATGATCACCATTTAAAAGATAGTTTGTTACTCACAGTTTCCAAGAGATGGGGACACACCACAGCATGCAGGGCCACACGAGAAAGCACCAGGTTGATCAGGAGGCAGAAGAAATGAGCAAAAGCATGGCCCAGGGCCTTTATTGTGTTTTCTGCAGGAAAGGCAAGGCAGGGCAGCATCGACAGGTTAGGATTGGCTAGCTTGGATAATTTCAGTGGACTCTGGGCTATAGGGCGGTCCATAGGTTTCTGGTCCTGGTCCTGGGGTGACTTAGGGCAGGGGAAATATTGGCTTGGAGTGTGAGAGTTAGATAAAGGAAATGGCTGGGCGCATGAGTTTAGGATTCGTTGGTTTGCATGTGAAAGGCATGCTCACAAGAGAGTCTTTCGCTACCTCTGGGAATTCGCTAGTCCTGGGAGGGGCTGTGTCTTCCCAGCCCAGCAAGGCCCCCAAGATGTCAGAGCATCATAAAATATAGAAAATGAAGAACGTGGTTAATACACAGGGGCTGCTCGGAGGCAGTGGAGTCGAGTCAGTCAAAGAAGCAGAGTCCCAGTCCTGGGCTGAGTCCTTGGGCAGCTCGTGTCCCCATCTTGAGCCTCGGTTTCCTCATCTGAAAATCAACAGCTGCTATTCTCTCATTCAACAAGTGACTGTAAAAGAGACAGACGCTGTGCCAGCAGGTTTAACAATGCCCACCTGCCAGGGTCATTGGTGGGTTTAAAGAGACAGTGGACAGTGTCTGGCACATCGTAGGTGCCCAGTATGTGGTAGCTGGTGTCTTTCTCCTGTTACAGCTCCAGGAAGTAGCTGAGAAAGATCGGTGTGGAAGGGTAGGGTCTAGGGCCATTTTCCTTGGCTGTTTAGAGCCCTCAGAGTGGAGGCCATGGTAGATAGAACCTTCAGGAATATTCTTGGAACTCAGAAGAGCTGCTGGACAAAGGATGGCATGGAGAGGCCAGCCCAGCAGCCAGGAGCCCTGGGGAGCAGAGATTGTGTGTCTGCAGCCAGGCATTGGGAGGTGCCAGGGGCTTGGGGCAGAAGTGACCACTGAACTCAGGGATCAGAGATGGCAGAGCACTGAAGGGGACACCCCACAGAGCATAGGCCAGCTGAGCGGCTGAGGATAAACCAGAACTTTGTGATCCAGAGAGGGAAGGGGAGCAGGCAGCCACCAGTAAGGAAGCTCTGAGGGGCCAAGTTAGAATCGGGCGCTGGCCCAAAACATGTGGAATTTCCTCTGCCTTCTGGATGTGATTTTTTTGGACTCAAGGCCAGCGATTCATGTGTTTGCCAAAGGCAGATGCTGGGGAGGGAAACTGGGGACTCCAGGCCCGTGGGGTAGAGCATGTGAAGGAACACAGCCCCCTCTGCTCAAAAGAGAACACCTCTCTCTGATGGGAGGCTGTGTGGTGCAGTGAGGGGCACACAAGGCCTGGACTTGAACCCTGCCCCCACTTCTTACTAGTTGTGTCACTTCCGGCAAGTTCCTTGAGCTCTCTGAGCCTCCATTTCTCCACTGGCAAAACAGTAACAATGACACCTACCCATCAGAGCTGTCATGAGCACCCAAGGTTGACTTATTCTTGAGGTAGGCACAGGGTGTGGGGCCCATGAAAATGTTTTAAATTCTTTTAAAATCAGGAGGAAAAAAATGAATATAGGGCCAGCCCCATGGCTTAGCGGTTAAGTGCGCGCACTCCGCTACTGGCAGCCCGGGTTCGGATCCCGGGCGCGCACCAACGCACCGCTTCTCCGGCCATGCTGAGGCCGTGTCCCACATACAGCAACTAGAAAGATGTGCAACTACGACATACAACTATCTACTGGGGCTTTGGGGAAAAAAAGAGGAGGACTGGCAATAGATGTTAGCTCAGAGCCCGTCTTCCTCAGCAAAACAAGAGGAGGATTGGCATGGATGTTAGCTCAGGGCTGATCTTCCTCACAAACAAACAAAAAAAAAGAATATATAATAATGAATCCAGCCTGGATTGTATTTGTTTTTATACCAATGCATTTGTAAAATATAATTTTAAAAGAATTTGTTTTTTGGAGGAAGGGGCCTATGAAAGCAAAAGTGCTTGGGACCCGCAGGAGCCGGGACAAGGCCCTGAGGGGGTGCTCACATGGGGGTGCTCATGTTTCATTCCAGAGCGCTCTTCAGCCGGCCCCATTCTCAGTGTTGGGAGAGGAGGGTGAATCTGCCCAGTTTATGCCCTCAAAACACCAGCCAGAAAGACATTCTTGAAATCAGCCCCTCAGCACCACGAGATAAAAGAAATATGAGATTTGAAACCATCAGTTTCTCTTCTGCCCTCCCACCCCCTGCACCAATCGCTCCCTTTGTCCTGGATTCTTTTCTCTCTGCCAGGTCCCTGCGTCCTTCATCAAGGGCCATGTTCAGGTTGTGTCAATTCCCGCCCCTAACTTGTGCCACCAAATCTCCATTTAAGAATCCCACCTGTTTCTCTGGTTACTTTTAGCCATTTTTTGCAGAGCGTGCAATTGTGCTGAGGGCATTTGTGGGGGGAAAGTCCTTTCCCATCTCTATTGGGGACAATGCCCCACAAATGCCCTCTGCCCCCAGAGACCCTTTGGATCAACTCCTTGAGGTTTCTGCCACATCTTTTCCAGCTGGGCTTGCCCGATGATTGCCCAACATGGGGGGGTGGGGGTGGTGCCTAGCGGGGAGCAGGGGTGGAGTCTGAATGGGCCGTGGGAGCATCTCCTGATAGGCATGTCATGGATGTGTTTTCTTTGCTAGAAGCCCGGAGATGAAGGACCTCCTCACACTGGCTTTGTTCCTGGCTTGTAGTAAGTGCTTGCCCCACGACCTCTGAACTTGTGACCTTCCACCCTATAGGAGCAGTAGGGTAGTGGAAAGGAGACCTGTCTTTGAGGTCATAGAGACTTAAGTTTGAATCTTGGCCCTGCACTTACTGTGTAGTCGTCAGCAAGAGCCTTCACCTCCCTGAGCATCTGTTTCCTCGTCTGTGACACAGGATAGTATTCAGCCAACTGGCTGGGCTGAGGCAGGATTCTAGGAGGTGGTGTGTGAAGGTTGTGCTGTGCGGAAGATATGCGGCTTGCAAATGTGGGAGGCAGATTTTTTTACTTTGATGAGAAATGAAATAAAATAAAGCCAAAATAAAACAAGATCCTTATATAAATACTCCGTTCCATGGTTCCTGGGTCATTCTCTACTCAGGCCTGTCTGGGTTTTCTACCTGCCCCACCTGCTGCCACCTCCCAGCTGAAGGTAACTGCTGGGGGAGCATGGCTTTAGGCCTCCCCTGCAGCCCCATAACCATGTACACAACCCCTGACAGGCTGTCCAAGACATCTTTGATGTCTTGTCAGATCCCTGGAGACTCCAGGAGGAGGGGAGGCCTAGGGCAGGGGGAGAACCTCTAGGTCACTGTGAAACTCTAGACGAGGTACTTTCCCCTCCAAGCTACAGTTTCTCAGTCTGTGAGACGAGGGAGCTGGCTTCAAGGATCTCTAAGATCTGCTCTAGGATTCTGTGCCTTTTGTTCTAACTGGTGTTGGTTGTGGGGGAGGGAGGGGTGCATTTTCAGGAGAGACAGGGAGCACCTGTCTGCCTGCTTCAGACGGATACCATATTAATTATACCTAATGTTTCTTGGTCACTTACTGTGTGTCTGTCACTGTGTTCAAAATTTACATACCTTATCTTATTTTAACCCTCATGACAATTCCAAGAAGTAGGCGTTCATTGTAGGCCCCCATTTTGCAGATGAGGAAACTGAGGCTCAGAGAGATTAAGTGACCTATTCAACACCTTACTGTGAATTAGTGGCAGAGTCAGGATTTGACCCAGGCTTGCTCATTCTCCAAGTCCAAACTTGCAACCACCTCTCTATACTGCTTCTCTCACCTTTCTTGTTCCTCTCTCACTAATGGGGAGAGTGAAAAAGAGACACCTGGGTCCCTCCAAGCCCTCGGGTGGGAGAAAGGGCAGGAGCACCCTGGGGAAGTGGGCCAGGAGCAGGCGTGCCTGGCTTTCCTCTGGGGATGTGGGCTGTCTTTCAGGTGTGCCTACTGTACCAGGGAGCTTGCTAGAACTGAATTCAATGATTGAGAAGGTGACTGGAAAGACTGCTGTGACGGACTATGGCTTCTACGGCTGTTATTGTGGCTTCAGCGGTCGAGGGACCCCCAAGGATGGTACTGATTGGTGAGCTGATTATCATAACTGCCCTTTATGCTCCGGGCTCTGCACCCACGTTATCTCATTTAATCCACGTCGATGCTGGTAGATGAGTATTAAAGCCCCGTTTTATAAATAAGAAAACTGAGTCTCAGAGAAGTTAACTGACTTGCCCAAGATACATCTAGTAACTCCGCGAATCTCAGCAGCCTAATATATCTGTTGGTCTATTGCTACGTAACAAACCATCCTAAAACGTAGTGGTTTAAAGTGATGATGACCATTTGTTTTGCCAAGAATCTGCCATTTGGGCAGGGCTTAGTGGTGTTGATGCAAATAATCCGTAATCATAATCTAGGATTATGATTAAAAAGAGTTTTAATTGAGCCCAAACTGAGGACTATAGCCTGGGAGCCTCAGCCTTTGCAAAGGAAGAAAGCTCTCCAAACAAGAGTGATTTTCAGCACAGTTATATACAATTTCCAAACAAGGAGACTGACACAAAGCATGACAGGAATACATTCTTGCAAGGGTTCAAGGAGATATTTTGTTACAGATTAGCACATACACAGCAGGTCAACATGACCCTGGTGCCATGGAAATGACTTACCTGGGGTCATAAGAAGGGAGCCATTAATTCTTATCTTCAAAGAGCACATTCTTTATTTCAGGGTAATGATTAAAGCAGATGTACAATGTATGTTTGACTGGTCATAAGTCAGGCTCCTTTAGTTTAAATAAAATTTAGGCCAAATCAGGTTTAACCCAGAGTGGCTTCCCCATACACCACAGTTTATAAAAATTTCTTGTTCAGTGGGATGGCTTGTCTCTTCTCCATCCGGTTTCAGCTTGGGCAGCTTGACTGAGGCTGGATGATCCACTTTCCAGATGGCTCACTCCAATGGCTGGCAAGTTGTCACTGTCTGCTGGCTGGGAGCTCAGATGAGGCTGTGGGCTGGGGCCCTCAGTTCCTCTCAGTTAGGCCTCTCCAAGGCTGTTTGGATCTCCTCACAGCAGGGTGACTCTTGGGTTCCAAGAGCAAGTGTCCCAAGACTGCAAGACAGAAAGAGTATGGCATTTTTACGATCTAGCCTCAGGAGTTCCATGGCGTTACTTCCAGCGGGCTCGTGGTCCAGGCAGTCACAAGGGCTTTAAGAGGGAGGGGACCTAGATTCCACATCTTGATGGGGAAGTATCAAAATTCTAGAAGAACACATGAAACGGGAGAGATTGTTCTTCGGAAAATGCAACCTGCTGGGTTGACAATTCTGATACTGCTAGACAAGTATAATGAAATGGGGCAATTAAGGCAATGGATGGCAGATGGCTGGAGCCAATTTTCTCTCTGCTGGAGTGCAAGTTTACAGACAAGCAAGGACAGGAAGCTAGAATGATCCATGTGGTGATGGATTAGAGTCAGAGACTTCAGTATGAACTCCTGGTTAGCTTACTATAGATGCAGATGGTTACGTATAGAAATACGTTATAGATACGTGCATATCCATGGGTTAATACAGACACATATTTTTTACTCTGTCAGCTGACAGAACCTAAAAGAATCAACACCCCAGTAGCAATAAGCAACACCTAGTGCCCAGATCTTTTCTAATACCATTCTCCAATAAAAGGAACCAAGGCTCTATGGAAAAATGACTGATTCTAGGACTAGGGCAGGAAATATATAAGATGAGCCTGGAGCTTCTTATAACGCCCCAAACTAAGGAAGTGTTCAAACAAAACCAACCCAAACCAGACCCCACATTGATAGAGATATGTCAAAGAGCACAGGAACCAACTGAAAGAGCTCCCAATGACCAAAGCTGGGACAATTTGAGCAAAAAAAATAAATAAATAAACCCATAGTCCCAGTCTTATCATGAGGAAAACATCAGAGAAATCCCAATAGTAGGGCATCCTACAAAATACCTGATCAGTACTCCTCACAACTGTCAAGGTCATCAAAAACAAGGAAAGTGTGAGAAACTGTCACAGCCAAGAGTTGCCTAGAGAGACATGACAACTAAATGTAACGTGGTGTCGTGGATAGAATCCTGGAATAGAAAAAGGAGATTAGATAAAAACTAAGGAAATCTACATAAATTATGGACTTTTTACAATTAATGAATCGATAATGATATACTATTATTTAGTTAATTAGTTAATTATTTGGTTAATAATATATCAATTTGTTGGCTGTAGCAAATGTAACAACATAAGATGTTGATAATAGGAGAAACTCAGTGTGGGGTAAAAGGAAGCATTCTGTACAGTCTTCTTAATTTTTTCTGTAAATCAAGATTTTTTAAAAAATGCAATCTGCCACACCGAACATACCAGAAGTTTATTTTTTGTTCACATAACAGTTCATTGTGAATCACACGTTGATTCTGGGACCCAGGTTCCTTCCCTCTTGTGGTTCTGCCCTCCCCTGTGCCCTCAGAGTCCTCAGCGGGATCATCTTCATCCAGCTGAGAGATAGAGAAAGAGAAAGTAGAGGATAGTGTGGAAGGGTTTTATGGGTAGGTCTGAAGTGGTGTATGTCACTTCTGCCCGCATTCTCCTTGTGGGAACCTAGTCATGTGACCACACGTACCTGCAAGGGATGCTGGGAAATGTAGTCTCATCATGAGCCCAGGAATAAAAGAGTGGGTCAGTGAACTGCTAGCTAGTGGCAGGCAGCCCTAGTGGAAAAGGGGGGGAGTACTCAGCTATATCATTAGGTTCTTTCTCTGCCAGACCACACCCACCAAGATGGCCTCTGCCCCTTCCACTCAGGATCTAAGAGTCTCCTATTGACAGGTGCTGTTGGGTGCATGACCGTTGCTATGGGCAGCTGGAGGAGAAAGGCTGCCAAATCTGGACACAGTCATACAGATACAGATTCACACGGGACCTGGTCACCTGTGGTAAGGCTGGGGCTTCCCATTCAGGCCACTGGAAGAGCCTGGGTCTCTGCTGGCTCTGAGGTCAGCTGCCCCTGAAGGTCAGCCAGCCTGGGGGCAAGAGGGGCAGGATTTTTGCAACTGTATCCAACCTCTGGGGGAAGGGCTAAAACATTTTAGACTGAGCATTGTCTAGGTGCCAGATGCTGCGCATACTTCCTTTTACTTGTTCCCCCAAAATAGCCCTGTGGGGTAGATTTAGTCTCCCCATTTTACAGATGAGGAAACTGAGACTCAAAGGCTTGCCAGTGCACACAGCTAGAGTTGGGATTCAAGCTCAGGTCCATCTGTGTTCAAAGCTAAGTCTGGGTACGGTGTCTCCTCTATGAGAACTGGAGTTCCTCCGGAGCAAAGGCTGTCTCCGCCACCAGACTGGGAACTCCAAAGGCGAGGGAATGTGTGTTCTTCGTCAGACTGGGAACTCCCTGAGGGCAGGAGCTGTGTCTCCCTGGGCTGAAACCTCACCCCGGGCAGCAGCTGTGCGTCTTCCATCAGATTATGCATTCCCCCAGTGTAGAAGCTGTGCCTCCCTCATCAGACTGAGAGCTTCCTTGGAGCAGGAAGCAGACTGGGGCATCTGGTCAGACTAGAAGCCAGTCCTGACTGAAGCAAGCCCAGGAGTCAGTGTCGGTAGAGCATATCCTCCCTTCCTCATTCTGCATTTGGTGTCCTGTTTGCAGAGCTCGGATCCCTCTGCCAGCAGCAGCTCTGCACCTGCGACCAGAAGCTCGCCTACTGCCTGAAGAGAAACCTGTGGAGCTACAACCCTCTTTACCGTTACTTTCCCAACATCCTCTGCATCTAGTCGCCCCCAGTGAGCTCCTCCCAGACCCAGACTTTCTCTCCCTTCTCCTACAGCACAGAGCTCACCCACTCGGCGGGTTTCCTGAGAGAGGCTCCCAGGTCTCGGACCTCATTCTTTCTCAGTGGTCCACTGGGCTGGGAGGAGCCCCACGGCCACACTTCACACTCCAGACAGTCCCGAGAGAGTGACTCTGAATATAGGACTTGGTGAGGTCAGGGTCCCCAGCCTCCACTTGTGAGGTCAGCCGCTCTGGTGCCAGAGCTCGCCCCTGACTCCAGGCCAGCTGTGTCTCTCCTCGCCCCCGATGACGGCGCCCCTTTTCCAGGAGGAAGAATTTCCTGGGACGCATTTACTTTTCAGTTTCTGCAGTTGGATTGTCACTACCACCCTCTAGAGAATTTTTACTCAAATAGAAGCAAAATTGACTCCATAATCTGCCATATAGATATTAAATAAAATTCATTCTCAAGACAAATAAAAACCACACAGGCATTTTCCTCTGCTGTGGGGGATGGCCTGCGCTTTTCTCTGCCACTATGGCACTGAACCCGAAGTTAACCACCTTCTCTCAGACGGAGAAGGTGCAGATTAGCAAATAAAAGGTTTTCTGGGCTGAGATCCAACCCTTCTTTGGGGCTCATCTCCTTAACCTTGGGGGTCCTCTGCAGCGAAGCCCTGGGTCTCATTCTTCCTCGAGAGGGTGAGGAGAAGATGATTGGCAGTCATGCCAGGTTGGGGTTCCAGGCCAGAGAGGATCACATTCCAATCCTAGCTTTGGCTTCTCCAGCTGTGTGGGCTCAGGCCCATTACGGAAACTCCCTGCCTTTCAGTCTTTTTAAAAAAGAAAGTAATGCTTCTTGCAATGTGAAAAGGGAATGTTGAAGCTGCCTTGATGGTGACACAAGGATGCTGAGATTCTGGGATTTTACAGAGCAGGACATTTTAAAAAAAGGGTTCATCTATGGGGTTTATTTTTACCAAGTAAGGACATTTAAAAACCCAACTCATCTATCAATTCATAAAAGAAAGGGCCTTCTAATACCAAGACTGCAGGAGGAAAGGACACATTCCAAAACAATGAGAGTCCTTTCCAAGAAAGGACCTTTGGCTTCTTTACACTGACAAACCCAAAAATAACCACATGGTAAATGGGATCTTTTTTTTAAAACCTCCAATGCTGAACATTTTCAAAATAAAATTTAATTTTATAAGATTACCCTGAATGTACTGGTGTTTAGAAAAGAAATATAGACTCGTGTCTATATTTGACAATGGAACACAGAATGGGGCCCAAATGTCCAATCTACTCATGAAATTTTTTTGATCAAAGCCATTTCCTAAATCCATTTTTAAATAGGTATGTAGAGGAAATCAGAAGCTTCACTCAATGCCATTTCTCTTCAATCGCGATATTCTGGATGATGGAGAAGAGACCCAAGCCCAGGCTTCTCCCTTCCCATCAAGGTCAGGTGGCAGGCAGGTTGGTGTCTTGTTGGTAAGTTCTGCAGGAGGCGGCTGTGGGCAGGCCTTTCTTCTGGGGCCCCAGTATTTAGACAGAGGCAGATAGGCATCTGTGGGTGAGGGAGGCTGCAAGGTTATAAAAGCAACACCACAGGCTGACTTGAGTTTGAGCTGGAAGGGCCCATGGAGAACCTTCATTTATCTACTGGGAAACCGAGGCCCAGAGAGGTCAGGAGACTTTCCCAAAGTCACACAGCACATCAACAGCAGAAGTAGGATTAGACCTCAGATCCTGGTTCTGAATCCTAGGCTCTGGCCACTATCCCACTATCTTCAGTCCAGCCCATAAAAAGAGAAAATGGACCCTGGAGGGGTTCAGGGACTCACCAGCATCGCGGTTCTCAGGAGGATCCCTGGATTCCACCCGACGGCCAGCTCCATTTCTTCTCTGCTTGAACTGCCTCTTGGGATTCCAGAGTCTGTCCTTGGGGGGTTAGTCTGGCTGGGGCTCTGGGCTCCATCATCAGTAGAGGGGACCCCACTGAGGTCCTCCATGGCTGCTGTCCTGGACGCCCTCTCACTGCAGTGAACAGCTCTGGGGAAATGATGACAGCCAAGGGGGTCACCAAAACCTGGGAAGAGGCGGTCTCCGTGACTGTTTTATTTGACCACCTCTTGACTGGGAAAAGAACCATCAGGGAGGTCGTCCCTCTCAATGTTACGTGACACCCCCTTTCAAGGGAGATACTGAAATGTGCAGCCCAGACTGTAAATGCCCCTCTGGATAGATTTTTATGTAAGAGCAGGCAGATAACACAGACACATAGACACTCAATGGACAGGTTGCCTTACAAATACAGGCCCGTCACCCGTGGTTGAAATTGGCCTCAGATACAAATGGGACCCCTCAGCTCCCCCAACATACGTAAAATCATTTGTTATGCGCATGTGCACATTTCGGGGGAGGGTTACCATAGCTGTTACCAAACTGAAAAGGCACCAGAGTAAAACCCACTGGTTATAGAGTCCCTTCTCCGTGCTGGACACCACGAAGACAGTATCATCCACCTTATGAGGCAGGTGTTCTCATCCCCATGATAGGGGTGGCACCTGAAGCTCAGAGAAGTCAAATGCTTTGCCTGAGGCCACAGAGCTAAGGAAGACAGGTGGGATGGAAGCAGTCTGCTTGATTCGAAATCTGAGTTTAGGCTGTAGGATCAATGGCATTACACTGGGGAGACTTGGAGCCTAACCAGGCCTTGGGACAGGCGCTGGGGGAAAACGCATTTGGTTTTGTTCAGGGCAGGCAAGGTAGATTTAGATTCTGTTACCTTAGCTAAGCTGGAACAACACTTCCCAGAATTCCTTTTCCTGCAGGGCTCTGGGTTAGCAGAGGCCAAAAGAGATGTTTTGTGTGAGATCTGGAAGGCAGAAGTGAAGCAGCAGTATTTTCCTTCTTTCTTTCTTTATTTCTTTCTTTTTTTTTTGTGAGGAAGATCAGCCCTGAGCTAACATCCATGCTAATCTTCCTCTTTTTGCTGAAGAAGACCGGCTCTGAGCTAACATCTATTGCCAATCCTCCTCCTTTTTTCCCCCCAAAGCCCCAGTAGAAAGGTGTGAGTCACAGTTGCACATCCTTCTAGTTGCTGTATGTGGGACGCGGCCTCAGCGTGGCCGGAGAAGCGGTGCATCGGTGCGCGCCTGGGATCCGAACCCCGGGCCGCCAGCAGCAGAGCCCGCGCACTCAACCGCTAAGCCACGGGGCCGGCCCCTCAGCGTTTTCTTTTTACACTTGGAAGGCAGTGGCTCAGGCATGCTGTCACGGATCTGCTGGCTCACCTCGCTGGTGTGAGCCTACTGGTCTCCTCTTTCAACATCTCCGACTCTTCGGCCAGCTTATCCTGGCAGACCTACCTAGCATCGAGGTTGGGGCCGGGGGGTGGTGAGAGACCCACTTGGCTTCCAGTCCATCCTTTTCAGTTCCACTCATCCTTGCAGGTTCCCGTTCGTCCTTGTTCGTCCCACTTCACACCCTTCTTCCCTTTCAGACTGTCTGCCCTGTGAACTTCAGCCTGTAGCTCCAGGCACAGAAGACAGCCTCCCGTAGAGTGCTAAATCAGCTCCCACATCCCTTTCTCTATAGCATGATATAGAAAGTAGTCTGCTTCTCTGCCTGAACTCCATGACTGATATGGAATCTGCAACTAGAAGTGGTTCCAAGGAACAGAGCCTGAAGGATGGGTTCTCTGAATTGCTCTGGTGTTATCTGGAATTGGTTTTCTTATCTGATTAGGTTTAAAGGCATGAATGACTGGTTTTTAGTGGTCAAGGGGACATTGATTATCCATGCCTGCAAGGATAAGACAGCTGCTTAAATGATCCACCTCTACACACCCCTCGTCAAGGCCTCTTCTTCACAGGCTTTGGGCGACCAAGTAGTTGATGCCAGAGAGCATTTTAGCGGAAATAAAAAAATTATGGGGATGGGGAACTTGAAAGAAGAAAATGATGAGTTCATGCATTAAATTCTCACTCAAGATCCGCATGAGGGACGTGACAGTTCTTTGCCTGTGCAGAAGACAGATGTCTATTAGAGAATGACAGTGGAGTAATGTCAACTTAATCAAGGGTGACTCCAATCACAGCTGCTGTTCCAGATGTGGTTTTGTTGCAAATCAACACACATCCTGGCTCCTGTTTTGCAGCTATTCATCCAGAGAATGGTTTCTTTTCTCTGCACCTATTAGTAAAGCCATCAGAAGAACTTGCTTTCAGCTTGCCGGGCGAGCAACACTCCTTCCCTCCCCTGCTGCGGGGCTGCATCCGCTCTCCAGCCCTTTGTCGTGACCTAGTCCAGAGGGACTTCAGTTGTCTCGTTCCACAGGACGTCACACTGGTCCATTACGTTGGTAATATCATGCTGATTTGACCTGGTGATCAGGAAGAAGCAATTACTTTAGACTCAGTGGTAAGACACAGGTGTGCCAGAGTGGGGTTGGGGGGGGAATAAATCCCACAAAAATCCAGGGGCCTGCTACCTCAGTGGCGTTTCTAGGTGTCCTGTGGTCTGGGACATGTTGAGATATCCCTTTCCAGATATAAGACAAATCATGACATCTGGCCCTTCCATCCCTTGAGAGAGAAGCACAATGCCTTGTGGGTCCCTTTGGATTTAGGAGATTTACTTCGACCCATTTACCAAGTGACCTGAACAGCTGCCAGTTTTGGGTGGGGCCCAGAACAAGAGAAGGCTCTGTAATGAGCCCAGGCTGCCATGCAAGTTGCTCCGTTACTTGGCAGAGTATGACCCAGTGGATCTAATAGTTCTTGGTGTGTACAAGTAGAAATGCCCCATGGAAGCTTCCACAGGCCCCTATGCGTAAAGCACAGGGCAGACTCAGGATTTTGGAGCAAAGCCCTGCCATCAGCTGCAAGTACTTGTTTTCCTTTTGAGAAATAGCATCTGGCTTGTTAACGGGCCTTTGTAGAGACTGAATTCTTGACTTTGGTTACCAAGTCATCAGGAGACCTGAGTTGCCCATCGTGAACTGGGTGTTATCTGACCCACCAAGTTATCAAGTTGGGTGTGCACAGCAGCAATTCCATCACCACGTGGAAGGGTGTATGTGGAACTGGACTTGAAAAGGTGCTGAAGGCACAGGTTAGTTGCATGAGCAGGGGGAGAAAAGATGCCTCTGGCCCCTACACCTGCGCCATCATCCTCTCCTTCTTCCTCTGTACCAATGACTTCACGGGGGAGTTCTCTAGGACCAGCTGACTGAGGAAGAAAAAGATCTGGGCCTGTCTTGCAGGTGGTTCTCCAGAATATGCTGGCACTCCCTGAAAGTGGACAGCTGCAGCCTTACAGCCCGGGGTGGCTCTACTGTCATGTAGAAGAGGTGTTAATATACTTAAACTTACGTCTCAGTATTTAAATCAGAGAATATCAAAAGGGGATTATGACCCAACCAGAATAGAAATGAACATGACCCAAGGATGGATAAAAGGACTTTGCACCCTCTTTGGGGGAGGTTAGTCTGTTTTGGGTTGTACAAGGGATAACTGCATTATGTTAGGCAGAAACGTGATTTTTCTATGGTCTTTATTTGGAAGTTAAGAACGGTTGGAAGAGGTGTATATGGGTGCCAAGTCCAC